TGTGTGTGTGTGTGTGTGTGTGTGTGTGTGTGTGTGTGTGTGTGTGTGTGTGTTTGTTTGTGTGTGTGTGTGTGTGTACGCGTGTATGTTCGTGTGCACACTACGTACATGTACACGCTTGTGTGTGTGTTATGTGGGTGGGTGGGTGTTTCGGTTGGTTGGTGTGTGGGTGTGTGTACACGTTTCTGCATGTGAATGTGTGTGAACGTACACATGTATTCAGTGCACCTAACTAACCATGTTTTCCTGTATAGGTCCATATTTGTGTTGCGAAAGTATAGATGTGAGAATGATTTACCTGTATGGTATACAGATACGATAGGAAGTAGACACCATGTTCACTCACATGTGCGCTTCTTGTCGCGAACCGTTCCCGAACCGTGACCACATATTTCACATAAAAGTGACTGCAGCTTGTGTCGACCATCTAACGATATCAAACGGTCTTCACACCACACCACCCTCAATGTAACAATAAACCAAACCTTTATCCATCCTGGCATCTTGGCATCGAGCAGCCAAATGCAGATTTCTCGTGCACTTTGTTACACGGGAAAATGCGGTACACAGCAGGCCAGAAGCAGACCAAGCCGCGACCCTCGATCGAATCCAGATATATTATTGGCGTTTGCCAGCCCATTACAATGAACATGTTCATCCAATATATTGAACAATATAGAACATGTTAGCTGGCTTCTTACTGAACACGCCTGAATTCCAAAGGCCAGGTTGCTTGGAATATAGCCTCGCCTGTAAAATAAGCAGCCGATCTATAGAGGCTGCAGCATATACCTACAATGATTTATATTGAGATTTCACTCATTTTAAAATTGCACACTCGCACAGTGGTCAGCACTGTGGGCTTTGATTTGAAGTGATATAGTTTGCGTGTCTTTCCGTTTTATATTTACACATCAGATAGAGCTAATATTTCTTGTACAATTATATTTTCCAGACTTTCATAGTTATAGTTGCAGAATCAGTTCAGTTCAATTATTCCCCAGTTGTAAGTAGATCTAGGGCAGGGTGGTAATAAATATTCAATCCGTTCGTTCCTGTATGATACCTCGTCGTCCATCGCGTTCCGTTTCGTACTCACAATCCGTGATCAGTACTTTCCGTCCAAAATGAATTCAAAATCCTCGACACACTCCCGATGTCGGATAAATTACCAACGACGCTCCTGTCCGTAACCCTGGTCTCCACCACTGCACAATGACAAATAGTGAATAGTGGACGTGTTAGACAGTTTGCATTTAAAATAGTGAGGGCACCAGAAGTATATAAAGTGAGAAAGCAAATAATCAAGCAAATAATCAAAGCACGAGTGCTGCCAAACTTACCGCTGGTCGTAACCACCCTGCTGTTGTCCATAGCCACCTTGTTGTCCATAGCCACCTTGTTGTCCATAGCCACCTTGGCCACCTTGTTGCCCGTAACCACCGTCACCTCTTTGCTCCTGTCTGGGGGCACCTACACAGTCACCGCCGTTGGGGCCGGTTACACTGGCAGCCTTGACCTTTCCGGATCGGTCATCGGTCTCTGTGGTGAACTCAACACGCTCGCCCTCTCCTAGAGAACGGAAGCCCTGTAGTTGGGTGTTTTATTGACAAATGATATATTGAGGGTGAGAAACTAATATACTGAGAAAGAAACATGGATCGAACGAACAGCATCGACGCATCAGACAAATTGCTAGAATTGCTAGATGTAGGTACAAGCTAAGTTCTCAAATAAAACATACCGCTGACTTGATGGACGACTGGTGGACGAATACATCGGGGGAACCATCATCGGGGGTGATGAATCCATACCCCTTAGTGGAGTTGAACCACTTGCACATACCAGATTGAATTGCAGACATGATGAAATGAAGTATATAGTAAAATATGAATCAATTTATGCCGAGAAGCCGGCTTATGTGCAGTAGAATAAAAATATCGAAATATTTTTGACAGACGTTTGTACGGGGCTGATGGGCGCTGTGACGGTACAGTTTGTCCACGCAAATAAAAATTAATACACACTACACAGTCAAAATCACAGGTGGGGGGACTGGGGTCTGGGGGCGAAACTACTGACTGCACCACAAGGCACGGGCAGCCAATCCCACAGTGGAGAGTGGAGACCGAGGAAAGTTGAAAACATAATCAACTGCGTTGACAAAAAGACGAAACGCACGAGGTAATTGTTGTTTTTAAATTTTACTCCAAATTCGTGCAATAAACATTGACCCGAAAAAAACAAGTTGAAATGAGGGTGTCCAGTAATTCGGATATGGCTCGCTTGTTCCGTCGACTTTTAGACCCATTCTCAATATTTGTATCCAGGCTGTTGGTAAAGTAGGCCAAATCACTAAACTAAATCTACCCTTATATATATATATAACTCTACCAGGAAGAGCAGAGGATAGTTTGAAGGTTAAGCCGGCGTGTTGCCCGAGATTGGGCATTGGGAATTTGGGATTTGTGCCCTCATTAGCCCTCACTATCTGGGTGGATGAAACTATCTGGGTGGATGAAACACGATATGCAAAAGTCGTTCTTATAAATAACAACAATGTTAGTATCAGATTAGTTTTTTTCTCTAGTAAATAGTAGCTTGTAATAGTATTTTTTCTAATAAATTATAAACAAAGAATATATACAGACATATTTACAGTCATACATAGTCTACTACTAAATTGTATAATTTCCTATTTCCCTGTGGCCTAAATATTTATTTTCTTTTATAAATATAATTATTAATTTATTTATATATTTATTTTAAGAAAACAAAACAAAAACAAACAAACAAAATACTAATTTTGTAAAAAAAACCCCAAATTTTTAAAATATACACGCTACAGAAAGTACGAAGTAGTGGACGATGATAGGTAGTTGTTGTTTTTTTTTCTGCAAAAACAACAATATCGATATGTAAATACTTATACTTTTTTCGATTTTTTCATACATCATGTTATATAATATATTTATATTTGCTAATGAAAATGCATTCAATGGCCATTGTATTATACATTTATGTTTGTATTAGGCATGTATGTAAGTATTATATATGTATGAATGTATGTATGTATTAAGTATGCATGTATGTATTAAGTATGTACGTATTGTATATTTATGTATGTATTAGGTATGTATGTATGTATGTACTATGTATGTATGTATGTATTATATATGTATGAATATATGTATGTTCTATGAATGTATGTATGTATTAAGTATGCATGTATGTATGTATTACATATTCAGGTATGTATTAGGTATGTTTGTGTGTATGTATTAATTATGTATGAACGTATATATGTAATAAGCGTGCATGTATGTATGTATGTAAGTACTATGTGTGTATGTATGTATTATATCTGTGTGAACATATGTATGTATTATGAATGCATGTATGTATTAAGTATGCATGTATGTATGTACTACATATTTATGTATATATTAGGTATGTATGTGTGTACGTATTATATATTTATGAACGTACGTATGTATTAAGCATGCATGTATGTATGCATGTATGTATTAAGCATGCATATATGAATGTATAATATATTTATGTATGTAATAGGTATGTATGTATGTCAGTACTATGTGTGTATGTATGTATTATATCTGTATGAATATATGTATGTACTATGAATGCATGTATGTATTAAGTATGCATGTATGTATGTACAAGGTATGTATGTGTGTACGTATTATATATTTATGAACGTATCTATGTATTAAGCATGCATGTATGTATTAAGCATGCATATAAGTATGTATGTATGTAAGTACTATGTATGTATTAGGTATGTATGTATGTAAGTACTATGTATGTATGTATGTATTATATCTGTATATATATATGTATGTACTATGAATGATGTGTGTATTAAGTATGCATGTTTTACATATTTATGTATGTATTAAGCATGCATGTATGAATGTATAATATATTTATGTATGTATTAGTTATGTATGTATGTATGTGCTATGTATGTATGAATGTATGTATGTACTATATATTTATGTATTTATTAGGTATGTATGTGCGTATTAGGTATGTATGTATGTATGTACTTTGTATGAACTATATATTTATGTATGTATGTATTAAGTATGTATG